GAGAATCAGTAGTAGTTCTACCAAGCTTTTTGAAGTATACTTATATATAATAAGCAATCAATTTTCAGGTGCTATATGTTAATTTTCACTAGAGTGTAATGAACAACAGAAAGTGAAGCTTATATTTATCAAGGATCTTTAAGCATGTAAGTAATTTCACCACAACTTTGCTTACCACATATTTGCTACCACAAAATGTGCTGAAAAGTATTAATAGGCTAACACATCAAATGTAATACAGTTATTTTCTGTTTCACTTCTAATAAGCAAAGAAGTTCAATCAGCAGCATAGATCTGTGCAAGATGAATTATCTACATTTATCTGCTAACACTGTTTACACTTGTGAATCAAAATAACTTGCACAGGCAAAGTCATAACTGAAAACTAAGATGCTGAGCAAAGTATTAGTCCTAAATAAGCTTCTTCCTGTTTTGCTTTATCACTTTGCTGGACTAAAACTAAGATTTTTTATTCTTTTTTAAGTCATTGCTGTTAGGTGTTGCTTTTAAGTTTTATCATCTGTTTTAAAATTACTTAGCTAGGAGTGAAGTGTTACATGCATAGTTTTATTGATGAAATCTTGCCTGCATGTGGATTGACTCTGGCAGAACACTAGGTGCCAACCAAAGCCAATGTTTCGTCTCCGTTTCAACTGAACAGGGGACAGAAGATACAATGAAAGGCTCATGAGTTAAGGACAGGGAGAAATCACTCAGCAATTACCATCTGGGTAAAAGAGTCTCAGGGAAATTATTTTAATTTCTTACCAACCAAATCAGAATAGGGTGGTAATAAGAAGTGACACCCCCAACCCCTCCCTTCTTCTCAGGATTGACTTTGTTGTTGAATTCTTCCCCCAGGTAGCACAGAGAGACATGAAATGGGGGCTGTGGTCAGTTCACCATGCATTATCTCTGCTGTTCCTTCCTTCTCACACTCTTGTCTATCTTCAATATGGGGGTCCTCCCAAGGAAGACTAACCTCCATGAAGTTCTCCAGCATGAGTCCTTCCCATGACCTGTAGTTCTTGACAAATTGTTCCAGTATCAGTCCTTTCTACAGGGTGCAGTCCTTCAGGAACAGGCTCTCCAGTGTGGGTCACCATGGAGGTCACAGGTCCTACCAGCAAATCTCCTCCAGCTTAGGCTCCTCTCTCTGCAAGGCCACAGGTCCTGCCAGAAAACTGCCCCAGTTCAGGCTTTTCACAGCCTCCCTCACACATCCACCTACTCCAGCACTGGATCTTCCACAGCCTAGAGCTGGATCTGTGGTCCACTCCTCTCTTCAGGTGCAAATTGCTGTTGTGCAGGGTGGGGCTTTTTCCCTTGAACCACATTATCCCAGTAGCACTGCCACCATCACAGGTGGGCTCAGCCCTAGCCAGCATTGGGTCCATCTTGGCTCTGGGTGAAGTTTCTGGCAGCTTCTGACAGAAGCCATCCCTATAGGGCTCCCCTCAATACATACACAACCTAAACTTTGTGAAAGCAAAGCTTTGCTAAGATCACTTGTTTAGAATATGTTAGAAGTTAAAAGAAAATGGGAGGAGAATGTTATCCCTTTATTGCATTTTTAATTTTAGAGATATTCTAGGAAATAATTACCCTGTGCCTTTTTCCTAGTCTGTCTATCAAATGGAACTATAGTATGTTTTCCAACACTATGCATGAGATTTGGTGGAGTCTCAATTTTTGGTCATTTTGTTTAATTGATTTATCTCTTCTGTAACTATTTATATCTTCACAGGTTTGTTTTTTTTTTGTTTTATAAGTTTTTTGTTATATATATTGTTTGGGCTTTCCTACTGCTGCTGTAGAGATGGGATTCAAAATTATATGACTTTTCACCTCTATTTTCTCCTTCTTCTTGCCTTGAAGGTACCTTCTACTTTAAGTTGTCTTTTATGTGTCTCTATCACCTAAGGCAGCATGTCTGGCTTGAGGTACAGTAAAGGATGACCTCCTATTCTTATATATTCAAATTAAATGTGATGTTTATTGTCTCACTTGTAGGAAATTGTGTGAAATATTATGAAGTTATAAGATTAAAAATTCCTTCTATCAATAAAAAATAACTTGCATATATATGTGTTTTTTAAAAAATACTTAAGGAAGCCCAGTTTCAAAAGGTTGCAATTTTAGTGCTTCATATCCCTCTCCATTTTCCAGTTTCAATAGTAGGAATGTTCTGGTTTATTGCCATTTGTATTTGAAGTGCTTTATTGTTTTTGGCTTGAATGATAATTTCTTATTTCTGCTAAGGAAATTGCATCAATACAGTAAATATTGTAAACTTCCATGTTTTGAGAAAGACTTGCTCTAACTTTCCTCTGAGACATATTATTTAATCTTCTTCATTGGCTCATTGATCCTGAAAAGGATCAGGTCTCTTCCTTTGTGACCCCCCAAAGGGATGAGCCTTGACATTTAAAAATTCAGAATTTGGCTTTCATGTTCCCTTAATATTTCTCTGTGTATCTTGGAAAAAGCAGGTCAGGCATGCTGCCAAAGTTCAAATGGACTCAAAGTGAAGGGAGTCTATCCCACCCTAATCAAGAGTGCAACAGCACAATTGACAACTAAGGCCATACATGGAAACGTATGTTCTAGATTATTGATGCTGTCTATAGGCTTTATCATGTTTTCTCAGTACAATATTCTTACAAAAATAATGACCAGAGTTGCTCATCATTCTCTTCATGAGCATATATGAATGTTCTTAGTATGAACTAAGAATTGTTTATGTACATGGAGTCTTCTAGGAAGAGAATTCAACTCTGTATGTGAAGGTGATGAGTTAGCAAACTTGCATACTGGCTACATCTGTTCTGCAGTTATTGCAGTGATACAACATCAAGGTAAATGGTTAAATGAGACTAAAAACCAAGACTATATTTGCAAATAAAGATACAAAAATAGCATGGTTACTTCCCAATTTTGCTGTAATTTTTTCAGTTAAATTTGGATGCATTTTTAACAATGGTATAAAATCAAGATTCCTCCAAGAATTGCTGATTACAACAGAATGCAACAGAATAGAAGCTGAGGGGGGTTTATGGCTTTACTATTTACTATTGGTCTATCATAAATAATTCTTTTTTGTGCCTTATTTTCTTGAAAGCATACAGTTTTCCTTCCCAAAAGGTAATCAAATTACACTTCCAGGAGTACTAGCTCCTTCACATGCTGTAATGACACTTTTTTTCTTTGTGCTTATTTATTTTTGAATGATAAATTCTCCATTACATATCTTCACTTGCATGACCAAGTTTCTTCACTTTCTTTCAGACAAAAAAAATGTGCATCAATTTCTTTAGAAACCACAAATTTGTTTGAATATGGGCAATAGAACAGCCTTCTTGGATGCACTCAGAGATCATAGCAAGTGAAGAATGGTGAAAAATGAATGGGAAATCTCATGAATGGGTTCAAATGTGAGTTGTTAGAAGCTTAAGTTATGATGTGTATATAATTTGATTTCTTAAAATGTGAAGCAATTTCCCTCAGTAGGGGTAATGGAATGTAGCCAGAGAGTGTTCTAGTGGGAGATGGGGTCTATTTATTTGCTAAAGAGCCATGCAAGATGCATGAAGTAGCTGTTGCCATATTTTATTGTTTGGATTTGGGTTTTGTTGGGCTGGGCTTTTTTTTGTGTGTGTGTGTTTTTAATATGATGCAGACTTGTGGTTTTGTTTTGTTGCGGTGTTAGGTTTGGTTTGGGGTTTTGTGCTTCAGTTTGGGATTGTTTTGTGTGGAGTCATATTTTTTGCTTTGGATTTTGGGTTTTTGTTTGCTTTGGTTTGTGGCTTTTGCTTGGTTTGGGTTTTTAACAGAAATGTATAGAGATATTTTTTTTCACCTATTTTACTTACGTCTTTTGGGAGACAATATCTTTTGTCTCCTGGCAGTGGAAAAGATTTTATGAGTCATAGAAGAGTGGGAGGATTTGCTAGTTCATTTCCCTAAAATAATTTTTAAAACATAAATTTGAAAGTCCTAGTGTTAGACAACAGAAGGGTCATGCAACTATAGCTACTATTCCTGATGGAAAGACTACCTGCTATAATGCTGCTAAAAGTGTTGGGATATTAGCAGGGAAGTAGAGATATGTCCCTTAAAGCTATAGGAAATCTGGCTTCTCAGTCTGAGACTGTGACACAGGAGTTGTCAGTATTCTGTACATTATGAGGGATTTTTTTTTAATGAGAAATGTTTGGCTTTTCACAGCTATGGCAAACCATCCCAGCTCTGTCTAACTATATCAGTTTTATGCCTTGAGGACCTGCCAATTTTGTAGCCTCTGATATCAGGCTTGGGACACCGGTGTCATGCTTTGTCGTACTGGTTACAAAAATGTTGGAGTTTGTATTCCAGAAAGATATATTTCTTACCTTATATTTTAATACGTAACTGTAAATTTTAATGCAAAAAGAGCTTTTCAAAGTTTTGGGTGGTTTTTACTGGCTTTCCTTGCTTTGGTCTTTCACCTCTCTGATAATCTAGAATATTCTAGTTTTTTCGTAATAACTTCCTAGAGCCCCTGGCTAATTGCAGAGCTAATTATGAAAGTACATGTATTTTCAAGGTTATATCATCCAGCTGAGTGAAAAACTAGTCTTATTTTAGGCTATTTAAAACTCAGGAGGGATGGCAGGAGCAGGTAGTGGCATAAGAATCCAACCAATTTGTATGAGTACTAGGACCTGTGCTCAAGTACTGTGATTCAAATAGCTAATTTCATTTTATACATAATTTTTGAGGGACTGGGATCACAATCTTCAGTTTAGAAAAGGAGGGAAAAATAAAAACTGAACAAATAATGCTTACTGACAAACAGTATGACAGAACATTTTATTTTGTATAAATGACTTGTACTTAAAAATGTGGTTTTAGTTTTGATAATGCCTGACCAATGAGAATCTTTTTCAAGTTTCTGTGGAGTGGCCTTAATGCTGTAAATAATCCAATTGGCCAAGTCCCAGTACAGTGCAGATGAGAAAAGGATGCAGGAAATTCTGTTGTTTACACATGTGTCTGTTACACTGAGAAGCAAGAGAAGCCCAGCAAACTGAGAGGGTAAGGGATCTTAAGCTTGTGGGTTTAATGTTTCATTTCTATAAATCTCTTGAGGGACAAAGTATGGGTTACTAACATGCTGATGGAAAGGAGGAAAACAGTCTGAAATGCCCAGCAAAAGTCCTGAAGATCAGAGAATAGTATTTGAAGTATGTGGCTAAGTTATGTCTAGCTTGATTCTTCTCTTCATGTATTTTGCTACTTCTAAAATCCCATCAAACATAATTTGTGTTTCAAGTGTAATAGAATTTTTACTTACCATAACCAGGTAAGTTTTTAAAATTTTCTAAGTGACAGGTTGTTAAAAAGTTACTTCTTAGTTTTGATTAGAAATTAGTATAAATCCAGATATTTCACAGATTAGAGTTTTACTACTGAAAACCTTTTTTAAATTACTTTGTGAAATGCATATGTAATGGTATAAACTAGTAAAACTTTGGTACCTTTTCATGGGTGTGGTATTATGGAAATATAAGTGTCATGAAAATATTGTTATGAGTTTGCAGATGTTCATACCACATTTTTTTGTTGGAAAGCAGTGTTTTCACAGCGTTTCTATTTTCATAAATTATGCAACTCAGTAGTTACTTGTATAATCCTAACTTCCTTCAGAAAATAGCTGGGATAAGAAAAATGTGTTTTTAGCTGTATGATGTTATTCTAATGCAATGAAACATATTTTTTTGATACTATGATTTTTTGATACTTGACAAATATATTCAGTCTGTCATTATTTTAAAGGGAATTGTCAGAGATAGTGTGAGACATTGTGGATGATCCTTCAACAATGAGAACTAAGGTCAAATTTCAAAAGCAATGTTCATGAGTTTAATAAGCAGATATAGCAAATAGTACTAATGGGCTTCGTACTGACTCTCCAGATAGCTGCATTTTGTTTCTATTCATTCTCACTGATTCACACAAACATTTTATGAAGCAGACTGCTATAAATAATTGTATAGCTAGACTCCTAGTTTTTGGTTTAGATTTCCTGTGTTGTTAAAAAATTTACTTTTGTGTTTCTGGATGCAGTTCTTTGCATAATATAATGAAGAAAAATGAATTTCCAAAATATATTAGGTATCATTAATAGAACTAGTCACTTCCACAGAAGTGACTTTTTCCTACAAAAAATTGAAATTGAAAAACGTGAAATTAGATATCTGGGGATGTTTTCTTGTGTATTTGCATGTAGCCAGATTTTAATTGAGGCCACTCTGTCACCTTAAGTATAAAATACTAATGGCAACCTCAGGTAAATCTGAAAAATAAATCACTTGAAAATGAATGTGATAAAGGAGCTGTTAATGAGCAGGCTTAAATTATTGTTAACACAAGAGGGGTAGATATTGGAACCATTTGAATTGTATGAATTTGATATTCATGGAATCATAGATTCCTAGAAAGGTTTGGGTTGGAAGGAACCTTAAGGTTCATCTAGTCCCAATCCCACCACCATGGACAGGGAGCCTCCCAGTACAGCAGGTTGCTTAAGGCTCCATCCAACCTGGCCAGCATTTCTGGGGATGGGACATCCACAACTTCTTAGAGAAGCCAGTTCCAATGGCTCACCTAATCACTCCTACTCTCTTTCTAGTCCATATTATGATCTTTAATTGACTGGTTCATTATGAAAATGATCCTTCCTGAGCAGTTTGATTCTCTGCTCATACTAATTAAGTAATCTACATTTACACTGATTAAGTAATCTGATTTACACTGGATTAAAGAAGACTAGTTTTTTTACCAAGCCCATTCTTATTTAACATCAACACATTACTGGAGGAATACCAGGGAGGAATCTTCATGAAAGCTCCTATTGTTTTGAGTATTTTTTTAAATGTATTTTTAGTTATCTTGGATGTTTCTCCATAACTTTTGTAGGTGTCTATTTTTGCAAAATGATGCTAACTTCCCTTCTTCCACGCTGAGTAGTCACCAATTATTCAAATAATTTCTTCTCTTTTAGTGGGACTACATATTGGCCTACAGTGAATGGGCACTGAGAGAATAAATAGTCCTGCTTCTCTATGTGTTTAAGTGACATCTAGTATACAACAGATGATACTCTCTGATTTATTTTATTTGGTCACTCTAGTAACTGTGGAATCCAGGTTGAAGTCACAATGTGGATTATTCCTTTGTTAATTTCCCTCAGGGATGATTAAGTGGAGTTGGGGTCATCACAAGACCCCATTAAATCACACAAACATTAAATCACAGTCCTTGAGCTATTGAAAGACATAGGATGGTGTTAAAATACTAGACTGGTTAGGGAAAAATAGGAATAATTACCTATAAATGTCCAAATAGCAATATTTTTGTAAAAACCATTGTTAAAATAATTAATTATATATGATACAGCTTCGAAAACTATTCTGATAAAACCAAAAACATCTTCACAACAACAGAATTGTTAATTCTGACACAACTATATCAGTAGTTGAACCAGCCAAAAGGATATGCTCTGACCCAGAGAAAACAAAATATTCAAGAATGTTCTTAATTGTCTACTTATGTGGGAAAATCACTGTTTCTAGACTCTGAGTAGAGTTTTGAAGAAAAAATTTTTTTGTGTCCTAATAAGCATTGGAATGTTTTATATCTTAGTCTGAAACAAAACATCAGATATTTGTGATTAATTTTCCCTACTCCCAGTGTTATGAAATTTTCTTTAAAAGTAGGTCATGTTTTGAACAGGAAAGCATCATAAATGATTTCAACTCTAACAAGACAATTCTTGATCTCTCATATCATAAAGCATATTTTTTTAAAATACTGTCAAGATTTTTAAAAACCTGAAGACTTTCTCAGAGTAAGCAAGGATTAGAAACTAAACTTTTTCTGAGATATGCCATTGCATCTTTATGTTTTATTGAAAATAAAATAAAGGAAAAAAAACCACACACACACACACACACACACACACACACAGAGAAAGAAAAAACAAACCACAAGCCTCCCAACTCAGTGGGTTTTGTTAGTTAAAAAAAACAAACCTGTAAATGAAAGTGAAGCTATCCCATTCAAGGTCACTTTGCAAATGAGTAACATAGAATTGAGGTACAAACTCTAGAAAATAAACTTAGGATGATTTTGTCTAAATAATGAAGCTTCTCTATACATTTAAGTGACCTCTACTGTTTGGATGAACATGTTCTAGCATTGCATCTGACCTAATTCTTGTTCAGTAAAGCGCTTCTCAGAATGGTTAATTTGTCTTCAGTTTCCTTTTTTTAACTTCCTTTTGAGGCTGAAAGAAGCCCAGCTGACCTGACCTATAGCCCAGTCTAAAAATGTGATAAAAATCCCACAGATCTATGAAGTCCTTAGTTGTGTTTGGGAGTAGTTGAGCCTCCTCAACTGTATGCATTAGAGTTGCAATAAGAATATTGCATTATATGCAATAAGAAACTGCAGCGGCTCCCACAAAGAGGTGAATTTGACTTTTGAATATAAGCAGATGAAACAAGAAATAGTAGAATGCTAATATTATCAATAGCTGGGAAAGGAATTTAACCCTTGAAAATTGGACATGATTCAATGGTCTTTTATCCTGATTGTGTGCTATAAGCTTATTTATAGCTTATTTGCAAATATTTGTGTTTCATATGGGTTAAGTTGCTTAACTAATACCCTGGATGAAAATCACCAGCTGAATAAGATGTTTCTAGTTTTCTTGTCTTCTTTGACTTTTAACTTCCTGCTGGCTTTAATGCTTGTAAAAACTTCTAAGACCAATTATGACTTATAAACTCAAAGGCAGATCCAAGCTTATGGATGATGTATACCTTGGGTATTATTTCCCTACATTTCTATAGTCTTCCCTCTTTCTGAAAAGTTCAGAGGAAATCCATGCAAGGATTTCCATGACACTCCTCTGTGTTTTGTTAAAGGGCTGCCTGTAAGTATAAGCAAGACATGTGTGCACTGGCTGAGCTCATATCCTGTAATAACATGCTGACAACTCGCATCAAGCTGAGTTTTTGAGTCTCTATTGTGACTGACTACTGGTTCTCTTGTAACTAAGCTGAGTGGTGTAAGAAGCTACCTGCTTACCCTAGCTGTTCCCAGTAAAGGGAATGATCCTGTTAGCACTGCAGCTCATTTCAGTGTGGGTTAAAAAATGTTTGTCATGCTAAACTCACTGAAATTAACTTACTCTGCTTTTTGTGTAAACAGGAGGAAGACTCATGCACTTGGTTATTTTTAGTCTTAGCAGTGGAACTGCTGAAAAACAAACCAAACAAAAAAAGAAAAAATAGCAACAGTATACCATTTTAATGTTATTAAGAGCAAATTTCATTGTGCTTGCAGAACAAGATGTCTATAGTTTTTTCCATAAACCACAGGAAGTGTTCACTTGTATCTTTAGCTATAAGCATTAAAAAATACAGTGTGTTGGTATAGTGAACTAGTATTAACTAATGAGAAACCTACTCTTCTGAAGCTATTACCTGTTTCGAGTTTGAAAAACAGGTTACTCTTGTTCTAGAGAAATCTCTCTATGCTATTCAGAAGATACCTAATTAGACTGTACCATAGCGTAACTGATAGGAATTACTTTGTATGAATTTATCCTTGCCTTATTTTAAATACACTCTGAATCTGTTCTCAATTGAAGTTGTTATTAATATTCTGATTCATAACCTGTTTTTCCTAATAATAATTCAGACAATATATTCCACGGACAATACCAATCTTCACACAGAATCACTGAAATTAGATTAGAATTTAGGGGACTTGGCTACTTGTTTAACTCAGAATTTTACGCTAGGTTTTCTAAGCCTGTTTGTAAGTAATTTACTCCGAAAGGATCTAAAACTTCATACTTATCCTAATTACCTAGGAAGTTTATTTTGCCTTTTTTTCATTGAACATAGCCTAGTAAAAAGTGATAATCAAATCTCAAAGGGGAGCTAGCCAAGCAAACTGTCTCAAAAGCCACAGCTACAGAATTTTGTTGGGTTATGATTGGTTTAGCTTCTTCTTAATACTTA